ATCATCAGCATCACCATCACCATCATCATCATCATCATCGTCATCGCCGTCATCATCATCAGCAGCATCACCATCGCCATCATCGTCGGCTTCGCCGATACCATCGCTGTGAACATTATCTGCGTTCTCTTCATCACCACCATCAGCATCGCCGTCGTCAGCATCTGCATGGGCATCAGCATCAGCTCCATCATCCCCATCATCATTAGCATCATCATCAGCATCAGCATCAGCATCATCGTCAACAACATCATCATCATCATCATCATCAGCATCATCATCATCATCATCATCACTATCGTCATCGTCATCGTCATCGTCGTCATCATCAGCATCATCAGCAGCATCAACATCAGCATCGCCATCGTCATTGGCATAACCGATACCATCGCTGTGATCATTGTCTGCGTCCTCTTCATCATCATCAGAATCATCATCATCACTATCATCCTCACCAATATCATCATCAGCAGCAGCATCATTATCATCACAATCATCTCCTCCACCTGCAAGAGGAAGGCAGGAGGCAGTCAGTGGCGCGGGAACCTTGGACAGGTCCCTGATGGGCCGCAGCCTTAGTCAAACAAGTGCCCGCCGTTTGCAGTTCTGGACATTGGCGGACTCGTGCCATACCATCATCGTCTTCGTGAGTCTTCCCCTCGTCCACCTCCTCCACCTCATCCTTCGCCTCCTGTCCCTCGGTCACGGCAACGACAACGACTACGACGACGACAGCCACAACCAAGACCGCGGCCACGAGGACCACGACGACGACAACAGCAAGGTCCACATCAACGACCACGACCACCGCCAGCGACGCGCCAACGACGACGACCACCATCACCACGGCGCTGACGACGACGACGATAACCACGACCCCGACGACGGCGACGGCGACGACGACGACGACGACGACGCACACGCCCACTGCCACAAGCGGCGCTGACGATGGCGACGATGGCGACGATAACGACGACGACGACGACGACGACGACGACGACGACGACGACGACGACGACGACGACGACGACGACCCGACCGATGGGAAGCGGGCCACATGGAAGCCTGCGGTAGCAAGCGGGGAGGAGCTGGGGAGAGGCCACATGGACGCGGGGAGAAGAAACACGACAGGCGGCGGCCATGCAGCGGGGGCCGCGCTGGGGTCTGTGGGCCTCTCTGGGCGGTGGGCCCAGTGAAGACTCCTGTCCTCAGACAGCCGACGTCCTCACTTTTTCAACATGTACGCCGTCCCCGGAAGCCCCGACCCTTCCTCTGGGACCGGCTCTTCATCCCGAGGCGCTCCTTGACGGCCCTGCAGGACCCGGCGAGGGCCCCCGGCGGCCCGGAAAGCAAGGAGAGGCCTCCCGCCTTGCGTTTTGCAAGACGCGGGCAGGCCTGGGCCTTGACGCTGGGGAGGCGCTGGACCAAGCCCAGGGCCGCCGACGACGGGTTGAAGGGGCCCCAGGACACACAAATAAATAAACACGAATAAAAATATCCCCCATATTTTCCGATATTTTCTGGGTTTCTGTCTTCCCCCCCATGTCCCATATTTTCCCATATTTTCTGGGGAATCGAGGATTAATTGTGTCTGTGTGTTTCTTTCCCTCCTGACGGGTGCGGGCGCTGGGCCAGGGGGGGGGGCGCCAGATCTGCTCCGGGCGCCCGCCCAGAAGCGAGGGCGCCAGGCAGCGTCGGGGGCTCTGCCCGCGCGGCAGGTGCCGTGCCAAGCCTGGCCGCTGGGCAGTCGGGGATCGCCTGGCCCGGGTCAGTCCAGACCCGGGTCAACGAGGCCGCGCAGAGTCCTGCAAGATCCTCCGAGATCCCGCACACAAAACCGGGTCCATGCGAAGGATCCTGCAAAATCCTGCAGGATCCGGCACACAAACGCCCGGGTCAATGCGACCCTGGCCCCGCAGGATCCTGCAAGATCGGGCGCTCTGGCTGACCCCCGCTTGCACTGACCCCCGTCTCGAGGCTCCCGCGGCCGGGCGCTGGCGCCCAGACCGGCGCAGGCAGGCGCATGCAGGAACATAGGGGAGCAAAAAGTAACATAAACATAATAACTCGGAGGTCCGCGCGGACTTCTGGGATCGGCGCTGGACCCCCCTCCCTGGCGCCCGGAGCGCGCCAGGGGCGGGGCTGGAGGCGCCGCTGGGGGGCCCCAGCGCCGATCCGAGAAATCCGCGCGGACCTCCGAGTTTTATGTTTATGCCACTTTTTTCCTCCCGGAAAAGAGCCGGCGCCCGCGCGGCGGCACGCTCGCCGCGGAGCGTGCCGCGGGGGCCGCCCTCCCCCTGACGTCTGCACGTGCCCGAGCCCAGGGCGGGCGCCGCGGACCGCGGGGAGAGACACGAGGGGCAGCATGTCGGAGAGCCCTTGAGATGCTGGCGACTTGCTTTTTGGAGCCGGGCGATGTCGCCTGCCTCCAGGCACTGGGACCTCCACAGATCGATGCCGCTCGAGAGCCACGCAGGAAGATTGGGTCCAGCGCTCCGGGCCGTGATATCTTACGATGTTGCAGCTGTTCTGCAACGTCGGATCTCAAGGGCAGGGGATGGGGGCGCGTGCTCGTTGAGCACCGTTTACCCGATCCCCATCCCCAGCGGCGTGGCCTGGGCCCCACTGGCCGATCTACCCCCCTAGATGGGGATAGACGCCGGTCCCCTCGGCTTTCGAGGGGTGCATCCACAACTGGGGTGGTGGTTTGGTGGGGGTCTCGAAGGGATGAGGATGGGGATGGGGATCGGTTAAACTAGGGGAACAAAAGGTGACATAAACATGAAAGCTCGGAGGTCCGCGCGGATTTCTCGGATCGGCGCTGGACCCCCCCCCCTGGCGCGCGGAGCGCGCCAGGGGCGGCGCCGGAGGCGCCGCCGGGGGGCCCCAGCGCCGATCCGAGAAATCCGCGCGGACCTCCGAGTTTTTATGTTTATGTCACCTTTTGTTCCCCTAGTTGAACCTATGCCCATCCCCATCCTCATCCCTTCGAGACCCCCACCAAACCACCACCCCAGTTGGGGATGCACCCCTCGAAAGCCGAGGGGTGCAGCGGGAGCGCCGCAGGCATCTGCAGCCACCGTGCGCCAGCGGCTGCGGGGGCCCCGCGGGCGCCGCGGGGCGGAGCGCGGCGCGCGCGGAGAGCGCGCCGCGCAGAGGGTACGCAGGGGGCGAGGCGAGGCGAGGGCGGCAGCGCGGCAGCAGAGTCGGGTCGGGCGAAAGGGGGTTTGAGAATCAGCTCACGTAGCTGATTTTCCTGGCGCCTCCCGGCGCCGGAGGCGGCCATGCATCGAGGAATGGGCCCCTCGGTGTGGCCGAAACCAGCTGCATGCAGCAGATTTCGTAACCCCCCTTTCCCAATCCCCCCCCTTCGTCCGGCCCGAGAGAGGAGGTGAAGGCCGACGGCCGACGTCACTCACAAGAACGGGAGGCCGTGAAGAAAGCACGGCGTGGTCTGTCGACTCGAGCCTGAGCGATTGCTCGAGCGGGGGCGATCCGCGAGGGCCTCAGGGCCCGAGGCGGGGGCAGAGACGCCCGCCGTGGCTGCTGCCCGCAACACCCAGGCGTCAGTCCCCCCTAGCTGGCTGAGCGGGTGGGGAAGAAGAACAACTGACGGGGCCCAGGGACACACAGATCAATAGACACAGATCCCAGGATTCCAACTCCGCCGACCCCGTCGGCGTGTGGGGGCTTCTCCGTTCGAGTCGTCGGCGCCGTCATTCGTTCATCGTCGCCTCTGTCGTCCTCTTCCCCTCGCTCTTCAAGCGCGTCAGCCGAAGCGAACTTGAGCAGCGCCGTCAAAGTCTCGAAAGGAAGACCCTTCCCTTGGATCTTCCCCCGCAGGGGGGTCCCGGGTCTGGACCCGTGTCCGGGCCCGGGGGGGACCCGGGTCCGGATCCCGGCAGGGTCCCGGGTCAGATACACGCTTCCCCTCCGTGGGCTCAAGAGCCTTGCCACGCGTCATATAGGCTCGGAGGGAAGCCCCTTAAGCCGTGGACCTCTCCCCCGCGCCGGGAGGGAATAGGAATAGGTCCCGGGTCCGGACCCGGGGGGGGGTCCCAGGTCAGGTATACGCTCCCCTGCCATCGGGAAGCCCCTTCCCTTTCGATCCCTGTCCAGAGGAGGAGGAGGAGGAGGAGGAGGAGGGGGAGGAGGAGGAGGAGGAGGAGGAGGGAGGAGGAGGAGAGGAGGAGGAGGGAGAGGGGGGGAGGAGAAGAGGCGAGGAGGAGGAGGAGGAGGAGGAGGGAGGAGGAGGAGGAGGAGGAGGAGAGGGAGGAGAGGGAGGTCCGCGCAGACCTGTGGGGCCGGCGCCGGCGCCCCCACCGCGCGCCGGCAGCGCGCCGGCGCGCGCAGGGGAGGGCCCCCGCCGTCGCCGCCCGTCGGCGGCTTTTTTAAGGATGCCCAGGGCGGTGGGCGGCCCTCAAATCATCATCATCAGCAGCAGCATCATCCTCATCATCATCATCATCATCATCATCATCATCATCATCATCATCATCATCATCATCATCATCATCATCATCAGCATCATCAGCATCATCATCATCATCATCAGCATCAGCATCATCAGCATCAGCATCAGCATCAGCATCATCATCATCAGCATCATCATCATCATCAGCATCAGCATCACCATCATCATCATCCTCATCCTCATCATCAGCATCATCATCATCATCATCATCATCATCATCATCATCATCATCATCATCGTCATCATCATCAGCATCATCATCATCGTCATCATCATCATCATCATCATCAGCAGCAGCATCATCATCATCAGCAGCAGCATCATCATCATTGTCCACCAGTATAGAAAGGATGCGCGATGAGGATGCAAGGGCCTTGGACGCCCATTTCGAAGCTTTTCCAGCGGGGCGGGGCCAGCGAAAGCGGCAGAGGACGGACCGAGGAGGCAAGGAGGCAAGGGTACCCTCGGGAAGGTTGCCCGCCCTTCCTGTGCGGGTTGACTGTAATGCAGGCTCAGCATCTCTGTCCTCGGGGCCCCGTCCCTCGGGCCCCAGGTCTGCACCGCCGAGCCCCGGGGGGCCTGGAAGCGTACCGATCTGGACCCTGCGGAAGACGAGGGCGGAATCTCCGACGGAGCGCTTTTTGCGCGGGAATGTGCCGAAGACAGCATCATCGAGAAAGTCCCGAGATGCCACTACTTGATGGGCCTGTTTCCCACCACCACCACCACCATAAGTTGGGGGGAAGGAGGTGGAGAACGAGTAGGAGGAGGAGGAGGAGGAGGAGGAGGAGGAGGAGGAGGAGGAGGAGGAGGAGGCGGAGGAGCTCCTCCCCTCACAACTTGTGGTGGCGGTGGTGGCAAACAGGCCGCTTCGCGCGTGGATGCTGCAGGGACGAACAGACAGCGGCGCCGCCACTCCCCGGACCTACCCCAAGATCCGCTTGACGTGGCGGCGAGGCGGGACGGGAAAATGTCATCCGCAGGCGACGTGGCGGGACGTGGCGGCGAGGCAAGCGCAAGCGAGGCAAGCGCAAGGCGGGACGGGAAAATGTCATCCGCGCAAGGCGGTATCTGCGGGACGGGAAAATGTCAACAGCGACTGCTCCTTGCTTGCGCCGCCTTCCAGCCGGCCGAACAAGAAGCAGTGGCTGTGGTCACTTCCCTGGTGCCGAGCTCAACGAAAATGACCACAACCACTGCTTTGTTTCTGCGGGCTGGAAGGCGGCAACAAAAGAAAAGCAGTGGCTGTGGTTGTTTTCACGCCCCGTAGTATCGGTATCGCATCGGTTCTTGGGGCAGGGCGAATGGAGAGAACGGCAGCCCAAAAAATCGCCCCCCCCCACATCCCCCGGCACAGAACGCACCAGTTCTCCGAGCTGCGGCTGGCCGTGGCGACGAGGGAGTGCCCAGAAGGCCACGAGCCACTGCTGTCTCAACTCGCCCTCCTCTGCTTGTCCAGGTCACCTGACCTCCCGCATCGCGCCCCGCGACGCGCGACCCGCGGTGACCTTCGCGCCCTCGCGAGGCCACCTCGGAGAAGGGCGCCTCCCCAGCTCCTGGCCATCGCTCGGACGTCCATTCCCTGTGTTTTTTTTGGTTTCGTGCGTGGCTTTTTCGCCAAATGATCAAGGATGCTCCTCGATGGTCCTCGCCGAAGGAAAAATGCACACGTCCGAGCGATGCCAAGGCTCAGGCCGCGGAGCGCGACGCCGGACCCTCCCCGCACCCCGCGCGGTGACCCCTATAGCTCTTGCCTCCCCGGGACCCCCGCCCTGGCCGGCGCGCGGCCGAGGCCCCCGCAGGTGCGCGAAGCGCGCCGGCGGCTGCTCGCCGCCATCGCTGCCCATGGCCGGCCGCCCACCCTCCCCTCGGGGAGGCGGAGGGGGGGGGGGGGACGGCCCCGCGGGCGGCGGCGGCGGGCGGCACTCCCCGCGCGGCGCCCTGCCCCTTCGGCGGCGGGCGCCGGCGGTGACGCGTCGCGGTCGGTGGCGGGCGGGGGGGGAGGGGGGGGGGCGCGCGGCCGGCGTCGTCGTCGTCGTCGTCGGGAAAGGGAGGTGGAGGCAGGCGGGGGGGCGAGCAGGCGGGGAAGAGAGGGGGAGGAGGACAAAGGGAGGGGGGAAGGAGGAACGGGCGAGGCTGGAGGGGGGGAAGGCTGCCCTCTGGCGGTGGACGTCTCCATCGTCGTCGACGACCGGTCGTGCGCTCGTCCGGCCGGCCGGTCGTCGATCGTCCGTCGTCGGCAGCGGGAGGGCGAGGGGCAAGCTGGGCGCGCTCGCGCCGCGTCTGCAGTCCTGAGAGGGCCCTGGGAGACACAAATAAATAGACACAAATGCAAGGATTCACCATATGTTCCCATATCTTCTGGGTCTTTGTCTTCCCCCCCGCTCCCCATAGTTTCCCTTTTTTTCTGGGGAATCGACGATTCATGGTGTCTGTGTGTTTTTTGTCCCTCCTGAAATCCTGCCCCGCCCGCCCATCCCAACTCGCTGCGCCGAGTCCGCTGTCTCTCCGCCAGGCGGGATGTCCTCGGACGGCGATTGCAGGATCTTAGGAGGCAATTACTGGGAGCTTTTCGTCGGAAGTACACAGGAAGATTAAGCCCCATTGGGGGGCTGTTACGCCAGAAAGGGGCTCGGATCAAGCGGGATTAAACCAGATAAAGCGGGATTAAGCGGGAATAAGCCAGATTAAGCTGGATTTCGGACCAGGGCAAAGTCAGAATTTAACCGAAAGGATATACCAGCAGCCTCTCGTGCAACTGGAAGAGGAACAGCGACAGCAGCAGGAAGAGCACGATGGATCGCAGGAGGGGAAAGGAAGGCACGGCAACGGCACGGCGAAAAAGGAATCGGAATCAGGAATGTGGCCAGCGCTGAGGCGAGAGCGCCGCTCCGCGCGACCAAGTTGCCATTGGAACGGCGTAGATAATAGCGCACACGATGTTTCAGCCTCACGGCGTTCAAGACGGCCCAATGGAACCCCAAGGTCGCCGCAAGACGACCCCACAGGCCCTCAAGAGGACCCCGAGACGGCCCAAGAGGCGCCTCAAAACAGCCAAAGAAGCGCCCAAGACGGCCCAAGGCAGCCCCAAACCGCAAGTCGGGCCCAAGAGGGGGAGCACGAACGGACGGTTCGAGTTTTCCGCTCCAAAATGCCCCCTCGAAAACCCCGGGAGGACCCCGACAGACCCCTAAGAGGCCCCGAGAAGCCCACAAGACGCCTCAAAATGCTTCAAAAACTGCCCCCAACAGGCCCCCGAGAGGCCCCCCCACGACATCGCAACGAACATCGAAGGAGTCTGCGACCTACAAGCCAGGAGTGGTGGCGGGATGGGCCGAACGAAATCCATGAGATATATACGCATGCGTGCATTCGCATGACCACAGTTATTGTGAACGCGTATTGCGTACCTACGCACAGTCGGCGCGCATGCTAAGAGAGAATGGTTTGTACACTCATCTGAAATGGACATGTCAATTGAGCCGTGTACGGATGTAGTGTTGCGCGCTTGTGATTGTCGCGAACGCATGTTATGCATATCTGCCAGCTGCGCGTGCGATGCCAAACCGTCGGGCGGAGAAAAGCGATGCACACCACGTGCCGTTAAACCAATACTCGGGGGGGCGGGAGCACGACGGGACGTTGCGCGGGGGAAAGGGGGAATTGTGCTGATGCTGAACTGTCGGAAAGGGAAATGTACGGCGGGAAGACAGGGGATGGGAGAAGGCGCGGGAGGGAGGTGAGAGGAGGGAGGCAACGGGGACAGGGGGAGGCGGGAGAGAGAATTGGCCGAGGCCGATGGGGGGATGCGCCCTCCGGGCATCAAAACCACACCACCTCGCGCCCGCTGGGCGTCGCGCGCTCTGTCGCTTGCGTCTCGAACGAAAACTATATTCCGGTAGTGCAGGAGCCGGGCGGTCACGCGGGTCGACCCTTTCCCCGCTCCTCGTCTCTTATCCTCGCATTGCTGTCCTCTTTTTTGGCCAGGGGAAGGGGGAGGAACGACATGGCTCTGAATCGCTTTTATCCCAGTGAAATGAGCTCATTTCCATGCGTGAGCACATCAGAAGACAAATCAGGATACTCCTGCGCCGACGCCAAAAGTCTCGGCGCGTCGCGCCGCGACGATGGGCGCCGCGTCTCGCCCGACCTCGGCTCTGGCTCTAGCCTGCGTCGCCGGCGCCTAGCCGAGCGCCCAGTGCGGACGCCCCAAACCGATTGGCCACCAACGGAGCGGTGGGCAAGCAAAATCCGCACCGCAGGTGCCCCTCGCAGAGCGCGGCGGGACACCCCCCCAGCCGAACGCGCGCCACGCCCCTCCCAACCCTGGGCGGCACACACGCGCCCTCGTGCGCGCGCCCTTGCTAGCGGGGCGAACTCGCGACGCCTCGCGCCAATCGCTTGGGTTCGCGTCGCCGCGCGCCGCTGTGCGTCGCGCGGCGCACCCTTCTTTCGCCCAAACATGGGGGCTGGGGCGGGGGCACCCGCCGCGCCGTCTCTCGCGCCCACGATCAACGTTGCACGACGATCGCCCACCATAACGCCCGACGCTCAACACACGATGCAGCTTCAGAATCCGGGCCGATGTTCACAGCCCATGCTCGCATCCGGGCGTAGCGGGGGCTAGCACGCGGAGCATAATGAACGATACGATACCCGCCACCGCGCCGCGGGCACTGAGTGGAATGTCAGGTTCTCAGCATCCTCGCCATGAAAGATTGCTGGTACTTTTTGAGGGCCCCGGATCCCAAAGTCGCTCTTTGTCTCGCTCGCTCGCGGGCGCTCTGGGCTCCCCGCGAGGCTTATTACAGTGCCCACGGCAGCGTTGCTTGGAAAACCAACTTTCGCCATACCCTAAGACAGCCTCAAGGGCCCGTGCTGGAGACTTCTATGCTGGCCTGCAGGTGCGCCTAGAAGGCTCTGGGCATCCCCCAAGAGACCCAAATCGCCCAAACTCCACCAGCTTGCTGACTGTGTTCAATATTTACATCCTCGCCGTGAGGAGAAATCCAAGACGGCCCGAAAGACGTCGAAGATCGCGAGTGGACCCGTGCGGCACCAGGGGCGTCCTGAGGCCTCGAGATGGCGCTAACGAGTCGAATTGGCGTCCATCGACATCGTCATAAACGAATTCGCCAAAATATCCTTCTCCACCTCCTTATCCTCCTCCTCCTTCTTATTCACCTCCTTCTCCCAAAACATACTCATCATCATCATCATCATCATCATCATCATCATCATCATCATCATCATCATCATCATCATCATCATCATCATCATCATCAGCGGCATCATCATCATCATCATCATCATCATCATCATCAGCATCGTCATCAGCATCGTCATCATCATCATCATCATCATCATCACTATCATCATTAGCATCATCAGCATCATCAGCATCATCAGCATCAGCATCAGCATCAACATCAGCATCATCATCAACAGCATCATCATCATCACCACCATCATCATCATCATCATCACCATCCTCCGCCTCATCATCATCATATCATCATCATCATCATCATCATCATCATCATCATCAGCGGCAGCATCGTCATCGTCATCAGCATCATCATCAGCAGCAGCGCCATCATCATCAGCAGCAGCAGCATAATCATCATCAGCATCATCAGAATCATCATCACCAGCATCATCATCATAATTCTAATCTGCATCATCATCATCGGCATCAGCATCACCACCACAATCATCAGCATCATCATCGGCATCACCATAACCAACATCACCAGCAGCATGAGCAACACCATCATCATCAGCAGCAGCATCATCAGCATCATCAGCATCATCAACATCATCAGCATCAGCATCATCATCAGCAGCAGCAGCGTCATCATCAGCAGCAGCATCATGATAATCATCAGCAGCATCATCATCAGCATCACCAGCAGCATCAGCATCAGCATCATCATCCTCATAATCAGAATCTGCACCATCATCATCAGCATCATAACCACCACCACCATCAGCATCAGCAGCAGCAGCGTCATCATCAGCAGCAGCATCATCATAATCATCAGCAGCATCATCATCATCAGCAGCATCAGCATCAGCATCATCATCCTCATAATCAGAATCTGCACCATCATCATCAGCATCATAACCACCACCATCATCAGTATCAGCATCAGCATCAGCATCACCAACATCACAAACAGCATCAGCAACATTATCATCAGCAGCATCATCAGCATCAGCATTATCATCATCAACATCATCAACATCATCATCATCATCATCATCATCATCAGCAGTGTCACAATCATCAGTATCAGCATCATCATCATCAACATCATACTGGTCATCATCCTCCTCAGCATCATCAGCAGCAGCATCAACATCATCCTTAGTATCATCATCACTACCAGCATCACCGCCACCATCATCAGCATCACCATTATCATCTTCGTCAAGTCATCGTCATCTTCATCGTCGTCATCATCATCATCGTCATCAGCATCCTCAGTATCATCAGCATCATCATCATCGTCATCAGTATCAGCATCATCATCCGTATCGTCATCGTCATCCACATCATCCTCCTCATCAGAATCATCATCATTGTCGTCATCATCATCAGCAGCATCATCGTCATCATCCTCATCGTCATTGTCATCGTCATCCTCATCATCCTCCTCATCATATCAGCCAGCGTTGACTCCAAATAGATAGGAGGACAGGAGGAGGACGAGAGGAGGATGGGAGGCGGACGAAAGGAGGGGGAGCAGGACGGGAGAAGGACGGGAGGAGCAAAATCGAGCAAGCGCAAGCAAGCAAGCGGAACAAGCAAGCGCAAGCGAGCAATAACACGCAAGCAAGAGCCAGCGATCAAGTGGCACAGGCATAGGCATAGGCATAGGAGTTAGGGGGGAGGCATAAGCATTGGCATAGGCATAGCCATAGAAATCAGGGGGGAATAGGAATTAGGGGGGGCAACGAACCAATTAGTAGGGTTTGAGATAGAACTCCTATAGGGCAAGCCTATTCGGAGAATAATCCGCATCATTCTCGTCAGCATCATAATCAGCATCATCATCATCATCATCATCATCATCATCATCATCATCATCATCATCATCATCATCATCATCATCATCATCATCATCATCATCGTCATCAAACTCAGCATCCCCCTCCCCATCCTCCTGGCACTACTAGAAATAAGCCAGCATGTTAGTCAAAAACAGACATTCGTCAGAAGTGGCGCATGGCGAACGTCCGATTTAGCTGCTCCAGTAGGATGCTAAGCTCTGGCGGTTATGCTACACCAGCGACTGCTTCGAGGAGGCGCAGAAAATAGATTACGAAACTCACTATTTGCACTCCGACCTTGCCTGGGCACCGCTGCCGCACTCATGCTCGAGTTGCGCATGATCGGCGCAGCGCTATTGAACAGCGGCAGTAACACGACTGTGTCTTTACTCGGCTGGTCAAGGGCACTTGACTGATTGAATCCCAAAAGATGTGCGCAAATGTGATTCGAATTGGTTTATCCCAAACTTCAGTACGAAGGATCCGTGGGATTGATTCGCATCGACATTTCACTATAATTGATCATCGTGGTAAATCTTCGTACCGACGTCAAGTGGCTGGCATTGCCCACGGGCGTCCAATATCACCGAAATCGTCTATCATTGTTCAAACCATTTTGATCGAAAACACTTTATCCGATACTCGCCCTCACCAAGATCCAGAATATGTACTATCTGGGGATATCAACCATGCCGACGATACTGCGCCGGTTCCCTATCACATTGGAAATCTACAACCCCTGCTGTACGTGGAGGGCAGAAGTACGGATTGGAATAAAACTTGGACACAACGGTGCAAATTCAACTAACGGATGGCGGTTTTGTGAGAAATCTGGATGGGGGCCAAATCACGATTGTGAAGGAAGCTATGTACGTAGGGGGGCGCTTATTACACATGATGGACGCGTGGGTAATGCACGATCGAGGCGCCCGGAAGAACCAACCGGAGCAGTTCAAGAAATCTCTCAGCTGTGGGCTCATTATGCCGTGGGGCGGCAGCGCGAAGCGCTCAGCCAAGTGCTGCGCTCATTGGGCTCGCTGTGGCTCCTGGATCAGGACAGGGACAAGATCGACGCATTCCACTGCAACCGCGTTGCGCGTTCGGCTTAGGGTGGAGCTCCCAAATGGGGCCAAGACAGGTGTGCCGAAACGGGTGCGGCGGTGCCATGCGAACGCGGCCGCTGAGGCCCTCGGTGCAGCCCGTTACGGAGCCACGAAACGTGCGAGGGGTGCGACAAAATGGGCGCGGTGGTGCCATGCCAGCGAAGCCACTGGCGGCCTCGGTGGAGCTCCCTATGGGACCATGAAACGTGTGAGGGGTATGCCAAAATGATCGCTGAGGTACCATGCGAACGCAGCGACTGGGGCCTTCGGTGGAGCTCCCTACAAGGCCACAAAACATGTGAGGGGTGTGCTGAAATGGCGCGGAGGTGCCATGCGAATACAGTCACTGGAGCATTCGGTGGAGCTCCCTATGAGGCCACGAAACGTGTGAGGAGTGCGCCAAAATGTTCTACACGCGGAGGGCAAAGGCAGGGATTGGAGCAGGGGATTAGGAGAGGAGGAACCGCGGGACGATGCGCATTCAAAACGCGAACCCAACATCACAGGATTGTTGGCAAAAACTCTAGCCTCGTGTCGTCTCCCGGCGACTGCCCCCCAGCGCGCCGCCGCGCGAGTGGCGAGACCTCCTTGTGCATGTGGCCCACGAAAGGGCTGAACAGCAGATGCCTCCCGCCCGCGGGGCAACGGCGACTGCGAGGGGTTCAAGGGTGCGTGCGCGGCCAGACAGGTCAGACAAATCTCCTGCTCCTGTTCCTGCTCCTTCTGCTCCTGCTCCTCCCCCTCCTCCCCCTCCAACCCCGCCGTACTCGATGCCCCTTTCACCGCTTCCCCCAAATCCCCCTCCTCCTGCTTCGTCTCCTCCCCGTCCCTCCTCCCTCATCCCTCCCCCATCAGCTCGCCGTCCGCGACGGGTCCATGGAGGTGCGGGGACGGAGGATGGAGGGGGGTTCGGTCAGTCACCTGGGGGCTCTTGTTCCCCCGTCTCGCTTTCTGCTTGTCCTTATCCTCCAATTCTGGCTTGGGGGGTAAGATGGGCCCGCATGGCGGGCGTCTGTCGCTGGGTTGCTGTATATGCGTTGTTATTACTATATATATGCGTACATGTATTTATATATGCACATCCGTATATATAGATATACATATATATATATATATATATACATAGATAGGGCTGCCCCCCTGGCTGTGAAGGTCGTGCAAATTGCTTCCGTGGATGGCGGATCCGATCCGATCCATCATGCTCCTCCTCCCTCTCTCTCTCTCTCAATTTTTTTTCTCTCTCTCTCTCTCTCTCTCTCTCTCTCAATATTTCTCGTGGGCTCGCGCGCTCGCGCGGGGGCGCGCCCGGAGCCGGCGTCGCCGCAGAGGAGGAGGTCGCCTGCGCAGGGTGAAGGGGGGCGGGGCGGGGGGCGCCAGGAGGAGGAGGAGGAGGAGGACGAGGAGGAGGAGGAGGAGGACGGGGAAGAGGAGGAGGAGGAGGAGGAGGAGGAGGAGGAGGAGGAGGAGGAGGAGGAGGAGGAAGGGGAGGAGGGGGGGGGTCTGGAGTCTGGGGTCTGGGGGGGGTCTGGGTCTGGGGTCTGGGGCGGGTCTGGGTCTGGGGGCAGCAGCCAAACGTTTGGACGCCCGAGATGGGTACGGAAAGAATGGGTACAATGCCCAACAGCAGTTCCTGTTCCTTCTGAGCAGGACTCGCTGTCGGTGTCGCCGCGGCCTGTGTCCACTCGAGACAGCAGGCCGCCCGCCCAACAGCGGCCGCTGTTGGTTTGGAACAACATGTATTGTACCCATTTTTTCCGTACCCATTTCGGGCGTCCGGAAAACGTGGCCAGAAAAGATCTGGGGGCTGAACTCGGCCAGCTGAATGCGGCCAGGCTGCTGATCTGGGCCCGGCTGAACTCGGCCAAGCTGAGCTTCCGCCTGCGCAGGGTGAAGGGGGGCGGGGCGGCAGGGCTGAGCCTAAGCGGTGTTTTTCGTTTTCGTTTTGTTTTCGTTCTCCCTCGTGTCTGTCTCGAGTCCGCCCTTACCGCAGAACGAAGAAAACGGCCCACGAAATCACCAAAACACCGTTTAGGTCCAGCCCTGCGGGGCGGGGGAAGGGGTCTGGGGGCAGCAACCAAACTCGGCCAAAAAAAATCTGGGGGCTGAACTCGGCCAGCTAAATGCGGCCAGGCTGAAATCGGCCGGCTGACCTGGGCCAGGCTGAACTCGGCCAAGCTGAGTTTCCGCCTGGCCCGAATCTTTCCTGTGACCTGGGGGGGACGATACCTGCAGGATGACGATTGAGAAGAAAATCGCTGGGGGGAACGACTTCAATCAAGACGAAATGCCCTGCCGCTGGGAACGAAGTTGGAGACGGCGGCCAACATATCCCGACGACCACGGCGACGGCGACGCCCACGAGCAGGCCCGGGCACACAGCTTACGAATCGTCGCCCGGGGCGATGCTGCGTGACGGGCTCCCCCGGGCCCCCCAGGGCAGGCCAGCTCAGAGTAGAGGGCAGAAAATTCACCCCCGTAAGAATCCCCACGACAAGCGAAGCCATGTAGTAAACGCACCCAAGGAAGGAATCGAACAGGGCAGGGCTGTGTAGTAAACGCCCAGCGCCATTCAGTGAACGTCAATTGCCGGGTCCGGGTGGTTCTTCCTCCCTTGACAGAGTCGGCGGTGGACAAACCTCCCTTTAGTAAACCACCGTTTACTTCAGTGAAAACGACCTAAGACCGAAACCGACGGACCTGGACCCGCAAAAACGACGGCCACGACGCCCTCGTGCGACCCGAAAACGGCCAATTCGCTAATCGACGCGTCAGGGTAGGAGGTCTACCAACCTCCGACAGGAGGGGGAAGCGGCAAGCTGGAATCAGGGATGAACTACATCGACGATCGATCTGCGAGGGGTCCACGATCGCAAAGCCGCACGTTGCCGGGCAAGCTTGAACCCAGGCCCAGATCGGCGAGGCATGGGGTGATTGCTTGTCGACGTTCCCGCTCCCGCTGGGGCCGCCGACGTCAGGAAGGAAGCGACATGGCGACGCGCCCGAGCGGGATGGGGACCCTGAGGTCCTGGCGTCGTCATCTCTTCGCACCTGGCGTTCTCCACGGTTTCGGGCTCAGGGGCTCTGGCGGACCGATGAGGCTGCTCGAGAACTGCCGCCGAAAGACTGAGACAGGGCTCTGGTCGTGACGCTCCACAAAATTACAACTGTTGTCGCGTCATCGGATCTCAGGGGAGGGGCAGGGCTTTTAAGAATACAGGGGACGTCTTATTTCTTTGGGAGGGAGGTGATGGGAGCGGACAACATGCTTCCACAGCTGGCTCCAAAACATTGATGCCGCCACACGCTGAACGCGAGATACAAAGGCATCGGGATGAGGCCGGCGAGATACGGCACAAGCGAGGAAACGCTTTCATCTGGAAGCCGCCTTTTTCCTCACCGAGTGTGAACCAAATTCTTGTCAGTGATTGCTAGAAAAACAAGTAACGTCTTGTATAGGGCTTCTACTAAGCCGGGGCCATTCAAACGCGGGTAAATCAGGCTATGCAGGATCCTGCAAGATCCTGCGGAATCCTGCAAAATCCTGCGCGCTAGCCTGGGTAAATGCAGCCCTGGCCCTGCAGGATCCTGCAGGATCTGGCGCCCTGGCTGACCCCCGGTGGCACTGGCCCCAGTCCTTCGAGGCTCCCGAGTGTCGCAAACTGACGAAGGCCTGGTGGCCACCAAGAGAGAACGGGGGGGTTATCACAGAGGCCAGCGGACCCCCGAGACCGCCAGCGGGCGCCCAAGAGACTCCCGAGGGGCTCGGAGAGGCCCCCAGGGGGCCCGAAAAGAGACCCCCCGAGGGTCCCACGGGAGGCCCCACAGGCCTCCTCACTGGACTGCATCCCTTCTCTGGGGGTCGGCGGCACGGCGTTGGTTGTTTGTTGTTCTTCTTGCCTTAAAAATTATCCTGGCGAAAGACCCAACCATATGCAGTTGTGAGTGCCGCAATTGTGAGTACCTTCTTCGGTGGCGCTCCCTACGGGGCCACGAACCGCATGAGGGGTATGCCGAAATATGGCGGGGTACACAACGCAAAGGAATACGATAGGTCAGATTACGAAAGAATGAACGCGGGTGAACCAGAGCGCGAGAGAGTCTGAGTGTGAATGGGTCTGCGTGGGAGTGAGTATATTTGCATGAGTGCGATCTTGGCTACGCCTAGTGTAAATGTATATGAATGTGAATGGCTCGAGCATGCCTGTCCGAACACTCGTGACACTGGGCGTGGCCGCCGCAGGCAGCTTCCGCGGGAACCCCGACGGCAGCGCCCGCGCGCCGCGACGCCCATGTCGGCACGCCCCTCACGGGGATCGCACCCGCTTCCGCCCCTTCTGTTCCCCCCTCTTTGCCTGCGCGCTCCAAAAATCCAAAGCTGCGGGCGCAGAGCAGCGCGGAGTCCCCGCGACGCGCGCAGGTCGCCGCGGAGGGGTCCCAGCGACGCGCGCAGGTCCTGAGATGGAGCTCCCTGTGGGGCCACGAAACGTGTGAAGGGGTGCCATGCGAACTGCACCACTGGGACCTTAGGTGCAACTCCCTGAGGGGCCACGAAACGTGTGAGGGGTGTGCCAAAAAGGGGCGGTGGCGCCATGCGAGCTGCGCCACTTGGACCTCAGGTGGAGCTCCATGAGGGGCCACGAAACGTGTGAGGGGTGTGCCAAAATGGGGCGGTGGCGCCATGCGAGCTGCGCCACTTGGACCGTAAATGGAGCTCCCTGTGGGGCCACGAAACGTGTGAGGGGTGTGCCGAAAAGGGACGGTGGCGCCATGCGAGCTGCGCCACGTGGACCTTAGGTGGAGCTCCCTATGGGGCCACGAAGCGTGTGAGGGGTGTGCCAAAATGAGCTCCCTGATTGGCCACGAAACGTGTGAGGGGTGTGCCAACATGGGGCGGTGGCGCCATGCGAGCTGCGCCACTTGGACCCCAGGTGGAGCTCCCTGAGGGCCCACGAAACGTGTGAGGGGTGTGCCAAAATGGGGCGGTGGCGCCATGCGAGCTGCGCCACTTGGACCTCAGGTGGAGCTCCCTGAGGGGCCACGAAACGTGTGAGGGGTGTGCCAAAATGGGGCGGTGGCGCCATGCGAGCTGCGCCACTTGGACCGTGAATGGAGCTCCCTATGGGGCCACGAAACGTGTGAGGGGTGTGCCAAAATGGGGCGGTGGCGCCATGCGAGCTGCGCCAAAATGGGGCCACACGTGGACCTGCGAGCTGCGTGGAGCTCCCTATGGGGCCACGAAGCGTGTGAGGGGTGTGCCAAAATGAGCTCCCTGAGGGGCCACGAAACGTGTGAGGGGTGTGCCAAAATGGGGCGGTGGCGCCATGCGAGCTGCGCCACTTGGACCTTAGGTGGAGCTCCCTGAGGGGCCACGAAACGTGTGAGGGTGTGCCAAAAAGGGGCGGTGGCGCCATGCGAGCTGCGCCACTTGGACCTTAGGTGGAGCTCCCTATGGGGCCACGAAACGTGTGAGGGGTGTGCCAAAAAGGGGCGGTGGCGCCATGCGAGCTGCGCCACGTGGACCTTAGGTGGAGCTCCCTATGGGGCCACGAAACGTGTGAGGGGTGTGCCATGATGATGACGATGATGATGATGATGACGATGAGGATGATAGGAGGGGAGAGGAGGGG